TGTTACCTGTGCAATTGAAATTTCTAAATGTCGTTGGGACAAGGTATCTATTCTCTTCTTTTACAAGTAGTAGCATATATTTGTAATCAATTTGTTTCTCGTGTCCTTTTGTTTATTACAGCCTTTTAGATTATTTAATATATTTTGTTTTGGTGGCCAATGTCAGTTAAGCCTTAAGTAATAGTTAACGCTGTCCTTTTGAACATTGTACAGGAAAACTTTCTGCTGCTCTGTCCAGCTCATTGTTCAACTAAATTTCCCAGTGAGAAGTCAAATTATGGGAAGCCCAAGTAAGACATCATTCTCTTATTGAAGCAGTTTTCCTGTGTTTTGGTCCCTATATTTAACTCTTGGCTCTTCAAGATTTATTTACTATTGTTTGTACAAAGACAAGGCTTGGAAAGTATATTTTTTTCTCAGTAATATTGCAGTTGGATATTACTTCTTTCTTTCAAGGTTTAATTTGATGTCTGATTTTCCCTCATTATCCACAGAATCTGTCCGCCACCCAACAGTGTGGAAGTTCCAGATAAAGTGAATCAATGGATCATGTGCCCATCCGGTTTGTCTTCTGAAGAGAAGGTTAATTTGAAAAGAATTTCTCCTCTTATTAGTCACTTGGTTTCGTGTTATTTAGACTTGGAGAGTTGTCTTTGGATAATCGGAGACAATATCTCTCCAATAATATTGATCCTTCCTTTACTTGGCTTTTGTTGACCTGGTTGTGGTCAAATTATTAATTTGTTTTCACTTTCTCTATATATATCTGCATGTAAACAAAAATTGAGGAATATGGTAATCTGTGATTTAATTAAGAAACTATGCTGGTTGTAGTGCGTAAAGGCTATCTCATGATGAATAACATTTACGAGAATATTGTTGAGATGGACTGTAGAACTAAGGCTGGGTTTTGGGCATAGATCTAGAGGTCTCCCTTGCTGTATCAGAAACTTATATATTTTCTCTGAATGGTGCAGCTTCTTTTAATCAAGTTTGCCGAGAAGATTGGTGCAACTGTGTCCAGGACCTGGAGACCAGATGTTACACATGTGATTGCAGCCCTGGATGGGGATGGTGCATATGTGAGGACATTCAAAACTTGCATGGCCATTTTGGCTGGAAGATGGATTCTGAAAATTGACTGTAAGCTATACCCAGATATTCTTGTTGCTTCAATTACATTTTTACGAATGACTATTTGACTAAATTACGTCCAGTGTTTGAAAAAAAAAAAAATACACTTTTTTAACTGAGTTGTTTTAATAATTGATGTGTAGGGGTAAAAGCATGCATGGAAGCCACAGATCATCTGAATGAAGAACCATATGAAGTTAGTCTTGATAACTATGGATGCTGTGATGGCCCAAAAACTGGCAGGCTTCGGGCAACAAACAACGTAAGTTCCTCTGATGAATAATTTGTGCATGACCACCTTCATTGATACATCCGTCCAACTAAAATGTCTGCCCGATAATCTTTTTTTTATTTACGATACCATGTCATAAATATAAGACAATCATTTCATCAAGAAGTCAGTTGGCAGTTTATGCATTTTCAAATTATAATGTTCAGATTAGGAAAAGGAAATAGAGGGCGCAAAGTCAGATTGTATGAATTAAACTTAAATAATGTCATTATGTGCTTCTCCATTACCATGCTTAACGCTATATGGTCAACTTTGAGCACCTTCCTTTTAGTTTTGGATTCAATTATGCAAATCTTTGGTGACTACTTGATCTTAGTTATTGGATTATTTCCTTTGCAGGATCCAAAGCTCTTTAATGGTTTGAGTTTCTATTTTGCTGGTGATTTTGTACTGGATAGAAAGGAAGATCTTCAAGATTTGATCATTGCAGCAGGAGGCACAGTTTTCAACAGCTCAGAAGAAGTGCTGGAACGAAGTTGTCTTGAACAGACTGCTTCAAGGACGCTAGTTGTGTACAACCTCGACCCACCAGAAGGATGTAAGTTGGGGGAAGAAGTTTCGATCCTTTGGCAACGGTCAAATGAGGCCCAGGATATAGCTGCAAAAATTGGATCACAAATCATCGGTCACACATGGCTCTTGGAATCAATTGCGAGATGCAAGTTACAGCCTTTTGTCTGTTGACAAAACATGCAATGCAATAGTCTGTGGTACATTGTATTAGTAGTATTGTGCTTGGATAGGGACCTGTTTGATAAGATGTTGACGTCCCAAATGTAGATTTCAGTTTGTAGCTAGTTTTATGCATTCTCTACGGCATTTTCTCCGATGTCTCTACGAAAGTGATTCAGATGCCTTTAAAGATGTGCATTCTTCTGCAGACAAAGGAATCAGCAATTCCCAGCAAATTGTGAGGGGAAGTGTGTCCCTTTTCCCAAATAGTTCTCTTATGACACTCAGTCTCTTTCTTCCAGCCAACCAAGCTGTGATCTTGATCAAAACTTGCAACACAAGGCTTATCAGCAATGTGAACCCTCTAGGGTTCTTTGTGTAGTGCTGGATCCATGGAACGGAGAAACGATCCTAGACCACGAGGCTTATCAGCACACGCCGGAGGGATCTCAAAATTGGGTCCTATGCTTCTTCCTAGGGTTGTGCCATGTTTGATAGAGTGTTCCTCTTTGGTACAAATGTTGCTCTACTAGCATTGTGTCACCGGACATAGCATCCACGGCGAGGTTGGTCTGCTCTTTACGGCCGCTTTTGGCAAGAAACCTGCAATTAACGCAATGCTAGCGTTGATCACCAAGGCTTTTTGCTAGAAAATGAAACTATTTGTATCCGATTTACTAACTACGTTATTGATTTTGTTGCTGATAAAGCTTAGAAATATGTAGGATCGTTGCAATTTGAACAATGTTTTTGGAACACCTCATTTTACACTTCTTTAAAAATGGTCATTACGAAAATAAAAGATTATAGATTATGACAAAACGTATAACGAGAATTCGTTAATCAAAATTGGAAATGACTAAAATACGTCATTGGGATTTTACCTCAATGAAGAGGAGTGGTCAGTTCTAAACTTCACAGCCCTTGTGTAATCTTGCAACTTCCAACTCATGAAAAAATTGGTTTACCAAATTCTTTTGGTTAGACCAACTCCAACCCATGGTTTAAAATCTATAATTTCTCTTCTATTCCCCCCAATCCATTCCAACCCTAGTTCTAATTTGAAGTTAGAACCTAAAACTTGAAAAAATGTCGGATACTTGCCATATTTAGCCCAGAAAATGGTGTGGGCCCCATCAGTGAGAGTGAAACTCAGTGCTTGAACGCTAGACGAGGGGTTGCGATGTGCGCGCGAGCGATGCACCAAACAGACAGACCAGCATGGCCTCACCCATGTGGGCATGTCGACCAAGGATTGGAGATGGTCTTAAACAAAACAAAAAGACAAAAAGGAATTGAAACCTTTTGCAAGTCAGTCCCTCTAATTTTACTAAACTATTTGGTCATACTTGGAGATGTAGGACCCACAGTCAACCAACGTTTCAGCGATGAACGGTGCAGATTATGTGAAATAAAAAACCCCAAGTTTTTTCCAGGCTGGGTAATCATTCACAGACACGAAATGCCCTAACGGTCACTTCCCTTTTCTCGAAAATTAAAGAACCCGGGGGAGGGGGCCACCCTACATAAAGAATTTGGATCGTCTGCATGTTTTTCTCCCTACAAGACTGTCCAAGACTTTTAAATCCAGCAGTCCAAGAAATCTCAGGGGTGCACGTTAAAGAAACAGGCAGATGATCTGGTCCCTCCAAAAAAGCCCCAGATCCATCGAAAGTTTATGACCGTTTGTCCCTTTCCCTTCTCCCCTAGTTCTTTACTTTCCAACCCCAACGGCCCTCTCTCTGACTCTCTCTTTAGTGGGAAAGATGGAGATTTGAAATTATGAAAACCCAGAACCCAAATCCTTCTTCTTTTGCAGCAAGACGCAATCTTTGAGAGACCCAGAGGAAGGAAAGAGAGAGAAATCATGGGTTGCTTTCTTGAATGTTTTGGTTCTTCCAAAGACAAAAAGCGCAGGAGGAATCTGAGGTACCGGGTTCACCACCGAGACCATGTAAGTTTGCGTTTCACTCTGTTTGGTTCCCGAGAAAATTCTAGGAAAGAAAATTGATTCCTTACTGTTTCATTTCTGGGGTTCTAGTTTGTAAACAGACCAGTGAGTTCTGAGTAAAACCCATACATTTTTTTTTTTTTGATGAATTTAGGCTTAGTTTAGTGGGGTTTTTTGTTTTTTTATTCGATTTCATTTAATTGTTTAATTCCGGAAAAAGTGTTGAAGTTCAAGATTTTTGTTTGTGTTTCTTCTCAATTAGTCTTTGTTTTTGACAGAGACATACAAGTTTCGAGCCTGTGAAATCTGCTCTCTCTTCTGCACCGGAGGTTGAGGAAAAACCTATTAGCCCGGCATTGGAAGAAGTCCGGTGAGCGATTGGATCTCATGGTTTTTTTTTTTTTTTTTTTTTGGGTTCAATTGCCTCTTAATTTTTTGTTTATCACTCAACTGTTTTCTTTGAATGTAATTGCATCTGTTTGGTTTTTGAATTACGCTTCATTTTTTTGGGGTTTTTGACATCGAATTGAAGTTATGAGTTTATGGTCTGTAGGGATAAGCCAGTGGAGCAACTGAGCTTCAGTACTCGAAAGAAAGTTACTTTTGATTCGAATGTTAAGACCTACGAGCATGTTTCGACCAACGAAGCTACGGATCCTTTGTTGGATAGTAAAGAGAATGGGAAGGAGGAGGAGGGGAAGAATTTGGAAAAACCGTGCCAATCTAAGTCTTCCTCTGAAGATAGTTCGGTCACTTCCAGCTCAGGGTCATACCCTCCTAACCATCGGTACCAAAATTGCAGGGATAGCGATGATGAAGAAAGCGTTAGACTATGATGAGTACAGTGATCTGGATGATGAAGATGAGGATGATTATGATGACGATGATGGGGAACTAGAGTATGAAGATGAAATTGTAGAATCAAATAGAGGGGTTTCTACTCCTCGATTAATGACTGAGGATTTTGATAGTCCAATGCCGATGAAACCAGGTGGGTTGAACCACAATGCGCGCGATAGGAGTGGTTATGTTCATTCGGTGCTAAACCCAGTTGAGAATCTTACACAATGGAAAGCTGTCAAAGCCAAAGGGACACCACTGATGAAACCTCAGAAAGAGAATTTCACACAAGATCAAGAACCCCGGATTTCGTTCAGTTCAGAGCCAAGTTTGAGCTTTAAAACAAAAGCTGATCAAGACAAGAAGCAATCAAAGAATCCCAACCAAGAATTGGCAGTTGATGCTAGCCTCTCGAACTGGTTGGTTTCATCAGAACATACGCCAGTTAACAAGGCCAGCACAACTGCTTTAGACACCTTCACGCCTGAGAAAAGCACTTCCCATGGATCAAACTCAGCAAGAAGCCATCAAGATAGACCAATTTTAGGTGCATTAACTGTTGAAGAGCTCAGACAATTTCCAGCCTCATCTTCACCAAGGAAGTCACCGAGTAGAAGCCCTGACGAGATGGCCATAATAGGGTCTGTTGGAACATACTGGAATCACAGAGCTCCTCCTCCCGCTGCTAAGAGTTTGGGTGCCTCATCTTTCAAAGGAATACCAAACTCAACCAGCAAATACAGATAGGTATTTGTGAGGCTCCTTCGATTAGGTCTTGACGGGAGAGTGAATTGGCATTGTACCCCATTCGAGACAAGGTTGGAAAGAGCTTTGAACAAAGGAGGTGCTGCTGAATATGATTGATGAGATTCTTTTTCTTAATTACGGAAACAAGATTGGTTTGTGATTGTTATCGTCCGTTGATGGTGATGTCTATTCTTTTAATTCTTTTGTGAATTATGATTTTGTTTTCTGTGTGATGCTTGCCTGTTGTAATATTTGGTTTAATCAAAGAGACTTGCTTGAAATTATGGATTGTGTTTTTACTAAGTGGGCTTGAAATCATGCATAAGTTCCATCCACTCCGCCATGTCTGAAAGTTAGTTATAGCATCTGCTACAAAATTTGTTTATCTGAAAAACACGGCGTTAAGAAATTGAGTTGAACTTCCAAGGGGGGACGGACACCACCAAGTTTTTCTGGTGCAAGACAAAATGTGTTTCTCCTGCACTGCCGATAGTTCAATACGTGATTTGGTAGTTGTTTTAGTTTGGCCACAGTTCGATTTCCAACCAACCTAACAAACATACTACTTCACAAGTCTAGGAAAAAAAAAAAGAAGGGTTTTTGGGGTGAGAGAGGCTCGAACTCTCGACCTCAGGATCACTCAGAAGCTATGAGACCTACGCGCTAGCCAACTGCGCCACCACCCCATGTTGAATTCTTTTCCCCACTCAATATATTTGTACAATTACAGGGCACCCTCGTAGTGACATACCACTTCCCACGTTCTCAATCGGTGTCGCTTTGAAACAAACCCTAGGCAGCAGCCCTTCCCTCCTCCTTCGTCCTTCGTCCTCCCCCCTCTCTCTTTCTCTCTCTATCTCTCCCTCTCTCTAGAGATGGACTCGGACGAAGGCAAACTGTTCATAGGAGGACTGGCATGGGACACCAACGAGGACAAGCTAGCCGACTACTTCAACCAGTACGGTGACGTCACCCAGACCGTCATCATGCGTGACAAGGTCACCGGCCGTCCCAGAGGCTTTGGCTTCGTCGTCTTCTCCGACCCTTCTCTGCTCGACCGGGTCCTCAACGACAAGCACACCATTGACGGCCGACTGGTCAGTCACACTCAACACTTTTCCCCTCTACCAATTTTATCCTGCATTTCACTTTCGCCGCTAATTGTACTTGGTTTCTTTATTTGGTTTTGAGATTTTTGCGTTCCGGGATTTCGATATCGTGCCAAAATGTGTTGTGGGTTTGGCTAATTTTGATGTTACTTTTCATGGGTTGTTGTTGCTTATATGTTCTTTAGCTTCTTTTGAGTGTTCTTGCATTCTTGGGGTTGCAATGCGTACTGGGTAATGCTGATTTTAAGTTGGGATTGCATCTGCTATCCGGGAGGGACTCCGGAATCGGTTATTTTGGCTTGTAATTTTGTTGGTTTTTAAGCTCCATGTGGTGATTTTTATACAATGTACTTGCAGTGCGGTTATCTTATTGAGTGCATAGATTTCTTTGGCTGATGAACACCAAGTTCATTAGGGAGAGAACATAATTGCCTTCGATTATCTAGTCCGTTAGAAATGATTTTGTTTACATGACATATTTTATAAGACGTAATGTTTGCAACCCACTATTTTGGTCGACAAGGTTGCACATTTTTGCTGATTTTCAATGGGGATTTTGTATTATTATCTGCATCTGTGTTCTGGATGCTCATTGATGCACATTTATACACGTAATGTCCTTCAGGGAAACACATGATAAGTCGTCAAATGTAATGTCAGTAATTTACCTGAAAAGTATGATGCTTGACAACACCAACTTACCGTTGATTTAAATGGATGAGTGTATTCTTCTAGGCATGGTTTGATGGTATATGTTGGAAACTTTGTAAAATTGGAAGGTTGAATATCTTTCATTCTTGACATGGTTTTCAATTGTAAGATTTCCAAATACAACGTTTAACTTTTTATCTCAAAGTGATTTACTTGTAGATTATTAGAGGTTTAAGCGCTACTTTATTGTGTTCTTACTAAAATTTTTGAGCTGATTTGTGCTACTTTATTGGGTTCTTCCTCGCCCCTTATGAACAAGCATATATGCTACTTTATTGTATATCTTTGCCTTATCTGTACATCTGTTTGTCCCTTTGTTTGTTAAAGGTTCCACTTTGATTACACAGGTTGAGGCAAAAAGGGCTTTATCAAGAGAAGAACAGCAGACATCCAATAGAAGTGGAAACTTTAATACCACCAGGAGCTCTGGAGGGGGAGGAAATTTTAAGACCAAGAAAATATTTGTTGGTGGATTGCCTTCTACACTGACAGAAGATGGATTTCGTCAATTCTTTGAAAATTATGGTACCGTGACAGATGTAGTAATAATGTATGACCAAAATACTCAACGACCTCGTGGTTTTGGTTTCATAACATTTGACACTGAAGATGCAGTTGATAGAGTACTACAAAAGAACTACCATGAGTTGAATGGTAAACTTGTAGAGGTAAAGCGAGCGCTACCTAAAGATGCAAATCCTGGTGGTGGGGGCCGTGGTGGGGGATATCAAGGTTACAGTAACTCTGGGACCAGTACAAACGCATTTGATGGTCGGGTTGATGGCAATAGATATGTGCAGCTTCAAACTACAGCAGGCGGTTTCCCTCCATATTCTGGCTATGGTGCACCAGGTTATGGTTATGGAGCAGCAAATACAGGGGTTGGTTATGGAGGTTATGGAAGTGCCAATACTGGTTTTGGTGGTCCTGCAGGATCGTATGGGAATCCAAATGCCCCCAACGTTGGCTATGTTAGTGGGGTGCCTGGTGCCTTGAAAAGTGCTTGGAGCAACCAAACTCCTGGGTATGGTGCTACTGGCTATGGGGCTGCAGCTCCTTGGAGTACCCCCGGTGGAAGTGGTGCATCTGCTCCTAGGGGTCAATCCCCAAGTGGGGTTTCTGGTTATGGAAATCAAGGTTATGGCTATGGAAATTATGGCGGCAGTTACGCTTCTTATCCTGGTGGGTATGGTGGGAGTACTCCAACAAGCAACTCTGGTGGTAGTGCTAGCGGTGGAGAGCAACAAGGGGCTCGTGGTGGTTACATGGGGAGTGGCTATGGCGACACCAATGGTAATTCAGGGTACTCTAATGCATCGTGGAGATCTGACCCTTCACAGGCCGCCGGTGGTTACGGTGGTTCTCAGTCCAGGCAGGCCTAACATCAAAGAATCAGGAGATTTTGAAATTTCTTTCACAGGAATCCCTCATGCATGCGATCTATTCCCCAGTCTGAGAGCTTATGCACGAAAAGAGTTGAAGTGTCCTGGGACTGGTTGGATTGCTTGATTCTTGGTGGTAGTTGGCAGCACTAGTTCTGCTAGAAGTGCCAATACATTCTAGTAGTAGTAAATTCTTCTTGAAAGTTTCAGAATTTAATATCTAGGTTGCTTATATTGTGCGCGCTTGATAATTTTGGAGTCTCCTCTTCCCCTTTCCACTCCATCCTCTCTCTCTCTCTCTCTCATGGTTTCTATTGAACTTACTAATCACTGTCGGTATTGATGATAGTTCTTCCCAGTGCTGCTTTAGTTTTATTCAGTTGTGATATGCTAGGAATTTGATGTTGCTATCTTGTTTTCCACTGTGGGTAATGTTGATGGTGGTTTATGTTTCTGTTTGGATTACTCAAATTTTTTTTATTTTCTTTTGAGTTTATTAAGCTTGTTCCATTCAAGCTATTGGTAATATGGGTTAGGGTTTAGGCGGATAATGTGGGTCTAGGCCGCCTTCGTGGTTGAACAGTCGGTAACCGGTGGCGTTGGCACTTTTTTGAGGAGGAGATTCTTCTGATTGGGAACTCTGGGTTGCAAAAAGCAGAGCATTTGCCGACGAAGATATGTGAGGCTCCACCTGCACGATTTCTCTTTTCTTCAACCACTGCATTTGCCGACATTTGATGTCACCAACGTCGTCGCTAAAGAGAAAGAGAAGCCTCTTCGGGATGACTATTGAAAACTTCCACAATCAATCAGGTTGTGACGCAGCATATTATGTAGCTTGCAGAAAATTTTAGCATTCATTCGAACAACGCCGCAAGCAGAAAAAGGCAATCATAGTAATAAATATTCATACAATCACGTTGAATAACTTTACCGGAAGAACCCTTGATTCTAATTACATGCTTAGGCTACCCAGACGCCCTTTACACGAACAACTAAATTATCAAAAAACCTTGCATACCCCAGCTCTTAGCTCACTTTGCCACTTCAAGCCGTGCACGTATTGACTCAGGATTCGACATCTTATTAATGCTGCAAGAGACGTGAGTAATGAAGTTAGACAAGTCTATCAGGTTTTTAATCTTTTCAACAGAAGATGAATGCATTTCCACTAGAACGCACATAATTTCTACTTGTAAATATGAAGCAACTTACTGGATCATTAGCAAATCAGCTTCAGATGCTATCTTCTTCTCAGAAATCCAATCGGGAACCAGCTCTAGCAACAAGTTTAGCTGCTCTTGAACTTCCTCTGCAGAAAGAACAAGAAAAGAGTTAGGTTCGCCATAAGCCTTCGGAGAAATAGTATCTGCTTTTGGTTAGTGACTTACTTCTGTCAACAATATCGAAATTGGTCCAAATGATCTTGTGCACAAGCTCCTCTTTTGTGATAACAGAACGGTTCATGGACTGTAGTAGAAAATGAATCGAGTTGAAGAGCTTAGGTAGGCTGGAAATCATCTGTTGCCGCCTCTTTGCTTGGGAGATGGCCGGATCTCGCTCCTCTATTGCCTTTTTCTCCTTCTCTCTAAGCTGCATAAAGATATATGGATACGTCTCAGAATTTACAGTTGATTATCTTCGAGTCCAACCGTGTAAATGTTTCAATTATGACATGGTTCTTAATAACTTTTGGGACTAGTTTATGCACAATTAAATGCATCTATTTCAAACAAAATGGGGGCGCACAAAAACACATTTCGGGCTGGAAAGTTCGTTAAAATAAGCTACACCATTTTAGCATAAGCCACTTTTCAGAAAGCTTTCTGATCATGTGTTTGTCATGTTTGTTTGCAACACATGATTCCATAATTAATGGTAAAAGAACCAAACCAAGATTCAGATATATAAGACGTGCTCAATGAGGAAACAAGAACGAAGATTTCAAGATAGACATACCGATTGCAAAAGATCGTCTGGAAGAATATCGTGAATGTCATTATCGTTTGATCCGTCACTCCTATCAGGAAATTCATCCTCAACATTTTTATTCTTCACAGGCGTGTCGAATTTCAAGGACCTGGTGCGTGGAGGACGCCTAACCAACTTATTCGGTGAGCTAGTAGAATTATGATCTGGGCTCATATGACATCGCCTTGGAGGCTGCAATGCAGGCGTTTCAGTCCCCAACCTGGCTGGAGTTGAAGCAAGCTTTGCTGGAGTCGATTGAATGCTAGCACTTTTTGTGGGCAAATCATCATGATTTTCTACGGCGTCCATGGCTTTAGTTGGAGTTACAGGCACTTGGCCACACGATGAAGCACAAGCAGTATCGAGCTTTGGTTCTGAAATATCATCACCCTGAAGGCAGCTTTTTGCATCAGTCAATACTTCACCAAGAGATGATGACAAGGGAAGCTTGACCGTGTCTGATAGCATATCTTGCTTCGTACGACCAAATGGCTGGGGGAGAATTTCTTCTGGAATGTCATAATCCTGAAAACATATTAAGCATTGTTAGACCACATGTTATTCAGAAAGTAGCTCAAGAAATAGATTGTTAAATTGATAAGGAGAAAACCTTGAACACCAATAATTTCCCAGATTACCATCGTTTAAAATTACAAAGAACATCTTTAACACAAAAATTACAAAGAACACTCAACAAATTAAACATATTAGTAATTCTATATCAGAAACTGAGTTTTGAGGATACCTCAGGATGGGATTTTGAAAGATCAGCAAGCCGTTTACGAAATGCCTTCCTCAAATGCATACTCCCTCCTCCACCTTCAGGTTTCGACTTGCCATCGCTCTCCAGTGCATCAGCATTGATGGTGACATGAAGATCCGGCTTCAGACAACTGGTCCTCTCATCCTTAATAAGCACTTTCTTTATCTCAATCGCCTCAGGTAAAACAAACTTCAGCTGAGCCAAGTGACCGTGTGTAAACCTCCTATAAATCGATTAGAAAAAAAGGATCATTTCTATAATTAGCCTAATTTCATTTTCTCAGCAACCAAACAGTCAATTAAAAAGAATTAAAAAAAAAAAACCATATGTGAATCTCCTAAAAATTGAGATAAAAAACAAGACCATCTTTTACAATACCCTAATTTCATTTTCTCAGCAACCAAACCATCAAATAAAAAAGAAATTTTCTTTAAAAAAATACCATAAGTGAATCTCCTAAAAATCGAGATAAAAACGATCAATTTATATATCAGCCCAATTTCATTTTCTCAGCAGCCAAACAAAAGAAAATTACCTATCCGTTAAACACTCGATTTGGGGGCAAATGTTGCTGAAACTGGGCTGTACTCCCCTCAATCGCAACAACCGAATCGAAGTGTCCAAGCCATTGAAAAACTCACCCAAGATCTCAAATCTGCATAAATACATAAATTAGCCAACCCACAAAACAAAATCGACCCAGAAATGGAGGACCAAAATCACACACAGATATGCCACACAACCGAAATTTGAAGCCTTACTTTTCGGGTAGCTTCTCCTGGCGGCTGACACGAGTCTTCTTCGGGGTTTCCTCCCCCCAAGGATCGATCTGGTCCATCCGTTGCTTCTGGGTCGACTCGCCGACGCTTTTGGCGGCCGCCCTTCTGATGTCTCCTATGGAGAGCGCAAAGTTGGCGTTTCGAGCACGGCGGGTGAGTGTTTCGGGCTTCTGAGGGGTCTGGGTGCTCAGTGCCTCGTCGCCTGAGACTTTTGGGGGATTTGGGTTTAAGGCTTTCTTTTCCCGGCTTCTGGGTGCCCTGGATCTGAGGGTTTGCGAGGAACTCATTGCCGAGATAAAGCGAAATGCGGGATTCGGAATCGAAAAAGGTGAGATCTTGAGGGTCACTGCCACAAGGGAGATGAAAAAGACGAGGAAGAAGAATAAGCAGTCGGAGATTTGGGGATTTTTCTATATTTATTGGGGTTTCTATGGCGGGAAAGATGAGCAGCACTGGCGTGACCCGTTGTTTCCCGCCAAATAGATCCGTTGGCTCCCGCATTTTTCTTAGAGTGGGCTGGATGGAGCACTCGTTTTTTACTTGGGCTCAAGGTCCAAATCTCACGTCCCAAATTAACAATTAAGTTAGCAGATATTAACAAATTTACCAATAAAAATTCAGAAAAAATCTTCATTTGCCCCTGTAATTTAGTTTTCCGTTCTATTTATTTTATTATCTCTGATAATACATACTAGTATATGCCTACACACAAAGTGTGTGAATTTTTTTACTTTGGTTGTTAAAATTGAAGGAGAAAAGAAGACAGTGAAAGAGAACGTGAGAGTGAGGAGAGAGGGAGAGAGGTTGTTTTTATTTTTTATTTTTTTTTAAATTAGAGATGATAAATTTACATGTAGTTGAGATTTAAAAAAAAACAGTAAAATTTTGTTTTGTAAAATTACGTTACTGTTATTAACTTTTTTGTTGTAAAAATGTATTTTCATCCTCTTTTGGTTGACAAAGAGGATTTCATTAATGTAGTTTTAAATAATAATACATATAAGAAAAAAATCAAATTATATCCCGTAATCTTCATGCTGTAGAAAAGGAGGAAAATCTCAATCAGTTAATTATATAAAACTAAAACATTTTCCATTAGAATTTCTATTACATAAGCATTGACTTTGATCATGTGCGTTGTATGATTGATGCATGTTTCTTTTATTCGTGGGGTAGAGAATTCGAACTTGCGACATTTTTAAACTTTTGGGAAAAAAAATTCAGCTTAATACAAAGTTTATATTTCTCTTAATCATAGAAAATATTCCAACTAGTTCAACCTAATTTTATTCCATTAGCTCAGCGAACCAAATGGTTCAGGGAGGCAAGCCAGGGCTTGAGCTGCCAGTTTCTGTGCAACGAAAAGCATTGTTGATCGAGACTCGAGACTCAGGGCGCTCTTTCGTATACAGACCAACGGAACACGCCATGGAGTCGAGTGTTAGCTTTTTCTTTTATGGTTGTGTATGGTTGAAAATTGTAGGGTTTAGGAACTACGTGCGGAAACCACACTTACAAGATGTCTTTCAGCAAACAAAGTATTGATACAGGATTATGAAGTCTCTCTTAAACATATAAAATTCTCAAACCATTTGAACTCTTTCTTCTACTTGTGTAACCCCATTAGTTTGTTGATGGTTATCGTACCAAACGGTTCAGAAAGGCAAGGCAGACTTTGAGCTGATAGCTTTTGAGACACAAAAAGCATTGTGGGTCTCGACCCAGGACTTGTACGTATACAAGCCATGGCTAAACTCATCACAAGCACCACCGCCCTTGCCAATTCATTCGTTGGAGGCTCCAGCCGTCGGTCCAACAAATCCTTCAAAAGCAATTCTGCATTGTCCTTCAACGATTTTGATGATTCTAGTAGCCGGGACTCTAGCATATCCCCTGGGTGCCTTCCCATCAAGACTTCTAGTGCTACCACTCCAAAGCTATATACATCACACTTATTAGTGACTTGCATAGTGAATGCAAGCTCTGCACATAAAGAAAAATCGAAGAAAATTAGCTGCTTGAACATATTGCAATGCTATTGATTCTTCCAGTGCAGGATGACATGTCGGGGACTGTAAATGAAAGTCGTCTCAACCTATCTTAGTCACCAAACGATATAACAATTGCAAAACTTAAATTGTTACATTACCTGGTGCCATGTACCCAATTGAGCCAGCAATTGTGGTCCAGTTGGATGAATCAGTATTCAACAATCTTGCTGTTCCAAAATCTGAGAGTCGGGGCTCGAAATCCTGCTCGACCAATACGTTGTTGACAGTTACATCACGGTGCACAATTGGTGGAGAGCAGTCATGGTGCATGTAAGAGAGTGCATGGGCAAGTCCTTGCACAATTTTGATCCTCATTGCCCAGCCAAGTTCATTAACCCATTCAACGCCATGCAATGCTTTTCCCAAGCTGCCTTTCTCCAGATATTCATAAAGCAAGAATATGCAGCCCCTCCTTGAACAAAATCCATATAGCCTAATGATGTTGCGGTGTCGGAGATTTGTCAAAGTTCGAATTTCATTCTGAAAACTTTGGAGATTAATTGCTGGAATGTCATTAGAGTCTGACATGTTAAGTCTCTTAACTGCAACAACTTGGCCTGATTCCAACTCTGCCTTGTAAACCTTTCCAAACCCTCCTTTTCCAATGCAGTACTTCTCATGAAAATCCTCTACGGCCTTCACAACTTCCCCAAATGTAAATTTCACTTCCTCTTGCAATATAGTTGACTCAAAACTCTCGTAGTTCTGAGTAATTTGTATTTCATTGGGATGGTACTTGGATCTCCTGCGATGCATAAGAAAGAAAGCAAATCCAGCTGCAACAACTACGAGACCAAACGACGATAGGAAGGTAACAATTACGATAGTGTTGTTCTTTTTGGAATGTTTTCTGGAGGACTGGCATGCACTAGTTAGTCGCTTCATATCTTTTATCAATCCAGAGTTTCCAACAAAAGCATTGGCTGTTGCCTTTAGGAGAATGACACAACTTGGGATTGGACCTGTCAAGTTGTTATAAGAAAAGTCATAGACATGTGCACTAGCATTTTTTAGAATTGTTGTGGGGATTTCCCCTGAGAGATGGTTGTGTGAGACATTGAGAACCTCTAATTTTGTGAGCTGTTTCAAGTTTGAAGGTATCGCTCCGGAAAGAGAATTGCTGCTAAGGTCCAAGATGTAATTCAAGAGTAGGTTACCAATCTGTGCCGGTATTTCCCCAGTCAAGTGGTTCTGGCTCAAGTTTAGAAGCTCAAGTTTTGTCATTTGTCCAAGCTCAGATGGGATTGGACCCGAAATTTTATTTCCACCCATAAGCATATGCGTGATGTTTATGCATTTTCCCCACTGTGGTGAGAGTGTACCAACAAACTGGTTGTCAGAAAGAGCAATGAATTCAAGATTGGGATGAACACCAAATGCATTTGTAATGTTCCCGGTAAACTGGTTCACATCAAACCGGACTCTAGACAATGCTGAACAATTCCTCAAGCACTCGGGCAAAGACCCTGTGAGATTGTTAATGTTCACTGTGAGAACTTGCAAAGCGAATCCGCTGCACAACTCTGGTGGCAACTCTCCAGAGAAGCTGTTGTTTGAAAAGCTAACATTTGTAAGACCAGGACTGTACTTCCCAAAATTGCTTGGAATGCCACCCGATAACTTATTTGTGAAAACAGAAAAGCTCTGCAGGCTTGTGAGGAGAGAGATGTTCTTCGGCAACTCTCCCTCCAGTTCGTTCGTGTTGACGTCGAAGGTAGCCAGTGACACCATGTTACCAATCTCCTCGGGGATTGTTCCGCTAAGATTGTTGGAGAAAAGTTGCAAGCTTTGAAGATTGGTGAGACTCCACATTGTCATAGGAATTGGCCCGGATAGCTGGTTTTCTGATAAATCCAAATCGATCAAATCTTTCAAGTTTCCAATCTCCGGGGGAACTGCGGCAAAGAAATTATTTTGGAAGAGATAAAGGGTCATGAGTTTTGTCAAGAGACCGATTTCTGCTGGAATATTCCCACTGAAGTTATTAGATTGAAGTTGGAAAGAGACAATTTCAGTCCAATTGGAGATTAGAGAAGGCCGGATTAGACCAGTGAATAGATTATCGCTTAAACCCAATTCAACAATGTTGTTCAGATTGGACAAAGAGAGAGGCAGTTCCCCGTCGAGGGAATTTGAAGCCAGGCCCAAATAGGTGAGGTTGGTACAAAAACCAAGCTCAAAAGGGATTGAAGATATTAAGGAATTCTTATGAAGATCAAGGAATTGAAGCTCCCTGAGTTGGCCTATTGATGATGGAATTTTCCCTTCAAGGGAATTTTGAAATAGGTTAATACGTTGAAGTCCAGACATTAAACCAATATCTTCAGGAATTTGGCCACTGAATAGGTTCACTCCTACATGAAGGTGCTTAAGCTTGGGAAGGTTTGATGGCAAGGGTCCGCGGAATACGTTAGAAGTGAGATTGAGATACTCAAGCTTGCCTAGATTTGTAAATAGAAGTTCTGGAATTTGGCCACTAAAATAATTTTGAGACAAGTCCAAGAACACCAAGTTTGAACATTTAGCTATGAACACTGGGAATTCTGAGACTATATAGTTTAGAAAAAGGTCGAGGTACGTCAATGAAGGCATGCTTGAAAATTTAGAGCTGTCAGGAATTCTCAAGTAGTTTCCTCCTAGGAGCAAATACTTCACCTTTTTGAGATTGCTTAGCTGATGAGGAATTGTACCGGTGAGATTGTTGTTGAAGAAACTCAGATACTCCAGGTCAGCTAACTTGCCAATCTCCGCAGGTATTTCTTGCGTGAACAAATTGTTGCCAAAGTCCAAGATTGTGAGCTTGGTGAGGTTGCGGATGGCAGATGGTATCGGCCCTGTGAAATTGTTGGCATTGAGGTTGAAGCGGGTGAGATTGACAAACTGCATGAAGTTGAACTGGCTTAGTGTCGATGTGATGTTGAAGTTGGACAGGTCTATTTCGACAACTGTTTTGGTGTTGTAGTAGCAAACAATGGCGGTCCAGTTGCAAAGGTTGTCGAGGTTTGTAAGAGACCATGAATTGAGAGCAGGGGGTGGTGAAGCAAAGCTATTCTTCCAGCTTATGAGAGCTTCTGCCTGTGTCTTTGGTGATGAGATGACGGCCTTCGACGGAAGCAAGAAAAGCAAGACGATATGAAGGAGAAGAAGAAAATTACCAACGCCTTTCATGGTGTTGACCAATTGATGTTTATGTTCTTGCTTGACTGAGCTCCGTCGCCGAAGAGCTGCTCAATTAATTAAAGAGAAATTAGGTTTACATCCTTCATTTTGCTGCTACATTGATTAAAACCCTATTCATTTTTAATTAGTTTATCTTACATTGCCGGTTCTAAGCCCGGGTAAAGGAGGAGGGGGAGGGCGTCAGGTAGTCGACAGCCGGCACTCCACAGTTACGTCGAATCCTTATGAAAATGAATTCAGAACGAAATCGCGCTAAAGCTAGGGCGTCACCCGTAAGTGGCGCGCTGTGTGGCCCGAGCACAGTGATAAGTGAGCAAGGGTCGCTGTATCTCCATAGGCACCCGGATGCAGTGTTAAATGAGCAAGGGGGCCATAGAAACTTCTTTTAGAACGACTCCACTCAAAGTTGTTTGGGAGCATATGCACCTATTAACTTTACACGGGACACACAAAAGAAGTACTTTGATTCCATTGGACGGGGGAGGGTGAAGAAGCTAGGACAGAAGGGTAGAGTTCAGGAGAGTAGAATGCGTTTAGGAACGTGGAATATAGGAACCTTAACGGGAAAATCTATGGAAGTAGTGGAAGTTATGGTGAGGAGAAGGATAAATATTATGTGCCTACAAGAAACTAAGTGGGTTGGTCTTAAGGCAAAGGATCTAGAAAACTCAGGGTTTAAACTTTGGTACTCGGGCACAAATAGAACGAGAAACGGTGTTGGCATCATCGTGGACAAGACCTTGACACAAGATGTTGTAGATGTCAAGAGGGTAGGAGATAGAATCATGGCAATCAAGATTGTAATAGGACAAGAACTTATCAATGTGATTAGTGCGTACGCACCTCAAGTAGGGTTGGATATGAGTTCGAAGGAGAAATTTTGGGAAGACCTTGGAGACTTGGTGCAAGGAATTGCTCAGACGGAGAAGTTATTTATAGGAGGAGATTTAAATGGACACGTGGGCAGGGAGACAGGCAACTATGGAGGTTTTCATGGTGGCCATGGTTTTGGGGAGAGAAACGAGGATGGGGAAGCTATCTTGGATTTTGCAATGACATATATGATCTCTTCTTAGCCAACACCTTCTTTAAGAAGAGAGAAGAACATGTGATCACCTACAAGAGTGGGTCGTCAAAAACACAAATAGATTTTCTTCTAATGAGGAAAGGGGATCGTATAACTTGTAAGGATTGCAAAGTTATACCAGGAGAGAGCGTGGCTAATCAACATCGCTTGTTGGTGATGGATGTACATATCAAAAGAGTGAGAAAAAAGAACAAGACTTGGAAGTGCCCAAGGACTAGATGGTGGAATCTAAAAGAAGAAAAACAAGTCATTTTCAAAGAGAAAGTAATCACCCAGTGTGTGTGGGATAGAGAGGGGGAAGCTAGCCAAATGTGGGATTCCATGGCTAGTTGTATCCGAAAAGTAGCAAAAGAGGTATTAGGAGAGTCCAAGGGCTTTGCCCCACACCAAAAGGAATCTTGGTGGTGGAATGAGGAGGTACAAACAAAGGTGAAGGCTAAGAAGGAATGTTGTAAAGCGTTATACAAGGATAGGACCGATGAAAATGGTGAAAGGTATAGAAAAGCGAAGCAAGAGGCGAAGAAAGCTGTGAGAGAAGCTAAGTTAGCGGCTTATGATGATATGTATAAGCGACTAGATACCAAAGAAGGAGAGTTGGATATCTATAAACTAGCTAGAGCAAGGGAAAAGAAGACAAGGGACCTAAACCAAGTGAGGTGCATCAAGGATGAGGATGAAAATGTTCTTGCTACAGAGAACGCGGTTAAAGATAGATGGAGAGGTTATTTTCATAATCTTTTCAATGAAGGACATGAAAGGAGTGCTTCTTTAGGGGAGTTGAGTAACTCAAAAGAGTGTAGAAACTACTCTTTTTATCGTCGAATCCGGAAGGAAGAAGTGGTTGTAGCTTTGAAGAAGATGAAGCATAGAAAAGCAGTAGGCCCAGACGATATACCAATCGAAGTGTGGAAAGTTTTGGGAGAAACAGGTATAACATGGCTCACTGACCTTTTCAATAGGATTTTGAAAACGAAGAAGATGCCAAATGAGTGGCGAACGAGCACTTTGGTGCCTATCTACAAGAATAAGGGCGACGTACAAAATTGCATGAACTATAGGGGTATTAAGCTAATGAGTCATACAATGAAGCTCTGGGAGAGAGTCATTGAGCATAGATTGAGGCAAGAGACACGGGTTTCGGACAACCAATTCGGGTTCATGCCAGGGCGCTCAACCATGGAGGCAATCTATCTCTTACGAAGATTGATGGAAAGATATAGAGATGGGAAAAAGGATTTACACATGGTCTTTATAGATTTGGAAAAAGCGTATGATAGGGTCCCAAGAGACATTCTTTGGAGGATTTTAGAGAAGAAATGAGTACGAGTAGCATATATCCAAGCTATAAAGGATATGTATGAAGGAGCAAAGACTGCCGTAAGAACTCATGAAGGACAAACTGAAAGCTTTCCCATAACTGTAGGATTACATCAAGGCTCATCCTTAAGTCCTTACCTTTTTGCGTTGGTAATGGATGAGTTAACAGGACATATTCAAGATGATATTCCTTGGTGTATGCTTTTCGCAGACGATATAGTGTTGATAGATGAAACTCAGGAAGGGGTAAATGCAAAGCTTAACCTTTGGAGAGAAGTGTTGGAATCTAAAGGTCTTCGCCTAAGCCGATCAAAGACATAATATATGGAGTGCAAGTTCAGTGCAAATGGAGGCCAAAACGAGTTAGGGGTGAGGATCGGAGATCAAGAAATACCAAAGAGCGATCGTTTTCGTTACCTAGGATCTATCTTGCAAAAGAACGGAGAATTAGATGGAGATCTCAACCATAGAATACAAGCTGGATGGATGAAGTGGAAGAGTGCATCCGGTGTGTTGTGTGACCGCCGTATGCCACTGAAGCTCAAGGGAAAATTTTATAGGACAGCAATAAGGCCGGCGATGCTGTATGGCATAGAATGTTGGGCGGTGAAGCATCAACAAGTACACAAAATGGGTGTAGCGGATATGAGGATGCTTTGTTGGATGTGTGGGCACACAAGAAAGGATAAGATTAGGAATGAGGATATCCGGGGTTAAGTAGGAGTAGCCGAAATTGAAGGAAAGATGAGAGAAAATCGGTTACGGTGGTTTGGACATGTGCAAAGAAGGCCTACTGATGCTCCGATTAGAAGATGCGACTATGGGACAGAGGTTCAGGGCCGAAGGGGTAGAGGAAGACCTAGGAAAACTTTAAAAGAGACTCTAAGAAAAGACTTAGAGTACTTAGATCTAACGGAGGACATGACACAGGACCGAGCACAATGGCGTTCAAAGATTCATATAGCCGATCCCACTCAGTGACTTGGATTTTCCAAGTCTCCAACTGAGAAGTTTTCCTCACTCGGGAAATTAAGGGAATACTACCTCAACCTACATGCTCCACTCACAAAGCTTCAACATACAAGCTTCAACAAAAGAAAATTCAGAGAACTTAGCGAAGAAGGCTTTGGTGTATTTAACACAATACGTTGAAATGAAGGAAAGCTATTTATTGATCCCCGATAAGTCACAAATATGTACATATACATGAGTCAAAATAAACAAACAAGAGAGAGCCTTCACAAAGGTTGCTTAGGAGAAGTCTCAGCAGTCGGTAGAGCCCCAGAAAGAGCAGGCACTGGAGGGGGATCATTTGGAGCCTCAGTACTGGACAGAACCCTAGAAGGAGGAGGCAGCAGAGGTTGATCATTTGGAGCTTCATTACGCTGTACAGCCCCAGAAGACGAAGGCAATAAATGCTTTTGGAACAAACCCACAAATCTCTGATGATCAAGTAAAACCTGACCATCAGATTCCTTCATCTGGTCAAGCTTCCTCTTCATGTTTGTAATATAGTCATGTGCGAGCCGGTGCAACTGTTTATTCTCATGCTTGAGCCCTCTAATCTCCTGTTTGAGACTCATCACTTCAGCCGCCAATGATTCAACTTGGCGGGTTCGAGCAAATAGGCGTTGGGCCATGTTAGACACATAACTTGCACACTGAACACTGAGAGCCAGAGAATCCTTAACAGCCAACTCATCAGACCGTTTGGAAAGTAGTCTGTTATCTTTGGGAGTGAGAAGGTTCCTGGCCACTACCGCAGTGGTCATATCATTCTTCATCACGGAATCCCCAACGGTAAGAGGATCAGTAGGGGAGACGAAGGATGGACGCCATATGTTGTCTGGAGAAGGCGTGGATGCCTCTTCAACAAGGTTCAAGTCAAAACGACGGTCGGAGGGGCCAGACATTTTCAAAGGTGTTGAAGAGAGAAGAGGTCGGACAAATCAAGATCTTAGAAGTGCAAGAATGGAGCTTCTACTGGTGGAGATTCAAGTGTGCTTTGGAACTTAATGCCAGCCTCTATAAAAATCTGCACTCGACGGAGCTTCAGAAATTGAAGAGGCGTTTGCTTTCTCAAAAGCTGGGCTGCTCAGAGACCACGAGACGTTTGCTTTCTCAAAAGTTGGGCTGCTCAAAGACCACGAAGGCCGATCTCAGAAATCGAAGAGGCGCTTGCTTTCTCAAAAGCTGGGCTGCTCAGAGACCACGAGGGCCGATCTCAGAAATCGAAGAGGCACCTACTTTTCCAGCCTTGTCAGCACCTGTCAGCTTTGCGGAAATTATGGGCATTATGTCGAAGATTTCTGGTGAAGTAGAAAGCACATGAATCTTACTGTTCAATCACCCACTTCCCACACGCAACATTAGCTCATGGGTACCACATATAACTTTGCCAAAGTTCTCTGACAAAGTTGAGACACGTGAAGCTTGCAGCTCCCACTACACCGCTCTGACCAAGAAGGTAAAAGAATAGCAAAGAAACAGCACTAACAAAGTTTAGACACATAAATTTTGAAGGTCTAGCTACCATATTATTACCCACAAGGGTAAAGGAGCAGTACCACTGCTGGATAATTGG